ATTTATTAATTTATTTTAATTTAATTTAATAGCTTAAATTTTCTGGATTAAAAATTGAATTTGAAAATGTTGACTTTGACCAGATGATTATCAACGTGAATGTAGCATAATGTTATAATCAATTATTGTTAGCATTGTGGTCAGGTGCTAATATTAATTGTGGTTGCTAACGTGATATTAATAAATAATAATAATAATAAAATAAGATATAATAGTGTGATGAAATTGGGGTAGTTCAGTCAGTATATACTTAAGTATTTAGTCATTTTAAACAGTGTACGTATGAATGAATGTAGCAGGGTTATATTACAAATTGTTAATCATTTCTATCATTAATCTATTTTCACAAATTTTGTTCAACAATTATATTCATAAATAAAATTCAAAATATTAAATATACAATGAATATTTTCAACGTGCTATTCATACTTTATTTTAAAAATTATTTACTCATAATTAGCTTACAACAAATACTTGGTATTTAACCTGAACATTAAGAATTATCATTAGCTATAATAATTGTATAGTGTAAATAATAACAATCGTATTTAAAATGTTTTATGCCTATCATATGTGCAATTTAATCCTAATATGAATAGAACAAAAAATTATTTTAATATATTATCATTTACAGGGTTTCCAAATTGTTTTATAAATCCAAAAATTGCATTATTTTCCCTTTTTATTGACTTTTAAAACTCTAAATAAACCCCTTAAACTTTAAATTTTTAAAAAATCTTTTGTTCTATACATATTAGAATTTATTAGCGCTTATGATAGGCACAAAACATTTTCAAATATTTTATTTTATTTTGCAAACATATGGGAGTTTATGGCGGAATTGACCATTTTCAAAGTTAAACTGTAAGCAGGCATGCGATATATTTTAAATTATTTTTTGATATTATTGAAATATAATATCCTCTCTACCATACCCACTACTCCATATCATTGTAACATAAGTAATCTTTGCGCTGACTATGGATCCAGCAAATCAACCAATATGACAGAATATTCTTGTTTTTTCATGGCTACCTCATAATGAACTTCAAGTGTGCCAGAGTATATAATTTTGCTATAACTAATAAGCGAGGTATTAAACAAAGTTCCATTGAATTTTTAATTGACTGACTTTATATTATTATTTAATGTATGGTAAGCATATTGTGCAATATTATTGTATATCATTTTAAATTTTAAAATGTAATACAAATGATAGGCTTTTTTTATTTAAAAAAATTATTTAATAAAATGGTATAGGTAACATAATATTCTTTATATTTATTTATAAATAAATCTATATTTGATTGGTAAATTTTAAAGGCATAGGGATGCAAGGTAAAACTTATACAACAGAGATTTAATGATTTAAATTTGCACTACCAATTATATAAATTTATTATAAGTTATTGATCAGGTTTTGTAAAAAATTTTAAAATTTGAATTTAGCCTGTTGTAATAATAAACTACAGAATTATAATGATTTTTAATTATTTTATTTGTAGTTATTAAATAATTAATATTTTTAAATATTTTTAAAAAATTCTATGATTTATATCGATTTCATTTTGCATACATAAAACATTTCGCCAAATAATATAATAATGCAAAATACAAAACAATAGATAATAAACAAAAAAAACGTCTCAAATACCGAGTAAATTAGTGTCTCGTACACCGATATGGGGTCCATAGCTAAGTCCGCTAATTTAAAACCATCCATTAACTCACCTTTTTCCAAAATTGTTTTAAATACAATGAAATTGTCGTGCAGGAAAAGTAAATAGATTTTATCAAGAACCTTTGTTTCGAGAAAGCGTTGTGAGCTATATGGGAATTATAATATATTAACGTAATTTATAAATAAACCTTGTTGTTAATTAGTAATCAATATAGTGGTGTTTTTGCATCATCTTACTTTAATCTAAAGCCTTTATTTAATGAACACTATTTTTTAGTCAAAACTGAAAAGTTCTTATCATTTATTTATGATTGTTAATCACAAAATTATTTTCATAGTTCGCTGCTCCTGGTCAAATGTTAAACCATTGTGATAATCAATAATAAATAAATGATAAGAAATTGTCAGTTTTGACAAAAACATAATGTATACAAATAAATTTTAGATCAAATAAGTTAACGCAAAAACAAGACTAGAAATAAATATATCTATATATAATATTAATAAATATATATAATTATATATATAATATTAATAAGTATTTATAATTTTTGGAATTTATAACATTAATATTTTTGACTATATTTTTATCATACATTGTCCGGGCCAACTTTTCAAATTTAAATCCCGGTTCGTAGCACAACGTTGTCATGGGTACTACCAAATCTGGTTGACCAAGGTGAATCATCGTGTATGTTTCAAGAATTGATTTCGTGTTAAGCGTCTGTATGTCATTGCCAATAACGACCCAATTTTTGAATTTGTCATATAATGAAGGTTTTGATTTATCTCTTATTTCGGCTATAAACGTGCTAGTTTCAACGATTTTTAATTTTCTTAACATCCTGATAAATTTTTCACGAAATGGTTGTGGAAAATTAGCACTGTACCCTGGTGATTTAAGTGCCCCATACGTCCAGTAATCAACATAAACCATTAGCCTATCATCAAAGACGTCGTTAATGGTGTCGACGTGCATGACATCCCTGCTCACCATATGTGCTGTAATATTGTTTATGGCCGTATAGACTATCGGTGCGCTTAACGCGAGCCATACCATGTATATATAGTTACGATAATCACGGTGCTCTCCCTTCAATAAGCAAGGTTTAAAGTAAATCCAAATTTTCTGATATAAAGATTCATTTGTTTTAATATTGCCACAATATTTGTGAATTAGTTTATCTGTTATAATTATCAAGGTAAACGCGCTTAATATGCAAATCCATATGTTTGCCGTAAACACAGTTGCCATATTAGAAATTGGTTGAAATGGTTTGTACACATCGAAACTGATATAGTTCATTACATGGCCTAGGTATGATGGTGGTGAGCAGTTTAATTTTTGTTCATAGGTTCTCGAGTTATAATCAGTGGGTGTTTCACCTAAGGCGGACACTAAGCCCCGTCTAACAGGTCCCCATTCGGTAATATTATACTGAGTGTCACTTTCAGAGCATTGAAACACGTATAGACTTATGCTTTAAAAAACATATGAAAAAGTTTTAATTATTTTAGTGATTAAAATATAGAGTTGGATAAAACAAATAGTAGGATTATTCACCTATAATTTGTCAGTTTGGCAATCTCATCCAATATATTAAACACTACCGACTTGTAATAGGCTGTCCCTTTTAGTGTGTTCACTTGAATAAATTCAAGCTTTGTATATAAAACGTTAAAAATATTATAAAAATATTACATTTTAGTTAAATTATAATATTTAAAATAGCTACAAATTTATTTAAAAATGATCTATTTTCATTTATACCTTGTCATTGAATGTCATTAGATAAAATGTGTTATTACGTTGGACCGGTAATTTATCAGGGTGCTTCAAGTACACATCGCAGTCAATGTATGACATATTGACGGAGTCCATGAAATTATGCCACAACCCATTTCCCCTTTGAGATAATATGTGCTTGATAGGATTATCCACTGAAAAGTAGATGTCTTTTAAGAAAGACATATTTCTATTAAAATTGTTTTAAAATATATCAAGTTGAGTAAATTAACAATTTTAATGTTTATTTAACAACCTAATAGTACAACATACATGAGCTCCTAAGCCCAATAAATTATATTAGGAATTATTAGAGATCAAAAATTTATTAATACTGTATTTATAGTAATGTTTTTAATTATATTTTATAATATATTATTTATAATGCATTTATAATACATTTTTTCAACAATATTTAATAATTAGTATGATATTGCTATATAGTTAGTACAATCATAACAAGTGGTTGCCTATATTTTAATGTAACAAAGGTACAATGGTATAAATGGAACAACCATATTTTTCATTAAATTTAATTATTATTATGATATCTCCATACATATTAGTTCAATTATAACAATTTATAAATTATAATAATGTTTATATTTTAATGTAACAAAGGTACAATGAAATAAATAGAACAACAACATTTTAAAAATTATATTTAATTATTATTATGATATCTCCATACATATTAGTACAATGATAATAATTTATAAACTATAATGATGCTTATATTTTAATGTAACATAAGGTATAATGTTATTAATTGAACACTAAAATATTTTAATTAAATTTAATTATTATTAGAGTATCGCCATATAATTTATTACTATCATAACAATTGGTACCTGACAATGTTTTCTATATTTTAATTTAACAAAGGTACAATGGTATCAATGGAACAACAATTTTTTTCATTAAATTTAATTATTATTATGATATCTCCATACATATTAGTTCAATTATAACAATTTGTAAATTATAATGATGCTCATATTTTAATGTAACAAAGGTATAATGGTATAAATGGAACAACAAATTTTTTTCATTAAATTTAATTATTATTAGAGTATCGCCATAGAAATTATTGCAATCATAACAATTGATACCTGACAATGGTGAATATATTTTATTATAATAACAGTATAATGCACTGGTTCTCAATTTGTCACTTAAGTGACAACTAGCGTTGTAACAACTTTGAATTTTAAAGCATTTGATTCTACACTAGTTATTTTATTTATTAATATTACCTTACTCACCTTACTAATCAATATAATATTTTATTTCAAAACTAACAGGTTGACAATTCATATATGAATATTTGTTAATTATAAGTATAATTATACATATAATAGTTATATATATTAGTTAACCATAAAATTTATTTATGGCTCATCCCATAGAGGGCCAGTTAATATAATTAAATAAATTTTCAATTATATATTTTTTAACTACAATTTTATTTACAGTTTTAGATGCAAAATAATTTCTTAAATATAAATAAGCGACGTTATATTTAATCCCAATATTGTGTATACGAGATTACTTTAAATCTTCAACAGTATATTTTGTAATCTGTAACAGTATTTAGTTCATTAAATAATGATATAAATATTTTAATTTGTGATAGATAAAACATAACGTCCATACCATTTATTGGTATTATGAATGTTATTATTAATTTACAATAAATTCTATTATTTATGTATTAATTATTTATTTATCCAGATTATTTATTTTTCTCATATTGATTTAGGTTAAGCAGCATTTGTAATGAAACTAAAGTTTAAAACAAATAAAATTAATTATTCAATTGATATGTTATGACATTTTTTATTAAGCAAAATAATGTAATATTTAGCAAAATGTTCACAAACAGCA